CTTAATCAGTCATCCAAGACCATAAGGTAATATAATAAGCGAGATCAGCAAGCACATTTCCTCTAGTTTATGTCTTTGCTGCAGTCTCAAGACCACGTTCAAATAAAGGTCAAAGTCATCTATTGGGAAATATGAGTTTAAGAAATGTCAAATTACGACAGAATCATTAAAGAAAATTGTTCCTTGTCTTTTATGAGTGTAGCACAAATCTCTGGTTGCTCTTAAACCAGCCAGTGGTTATTTTCTCTGAAGGTTTGTAGACCCTGAGCTGGATGGGATGCTAGAATCTTGCGTCAAATAATTTTTTTTAAAACATCATTGGCTTCCAATCGATTTGTAAATCGTCCAAAATACATAATAGTATGTTTTCCTAAAAAAAAAAGATAATTCATCCATGTTTTCTAAACAAAATTTGTTGGAAATTACCGTCAGTTTACAAAAGCTTCTTCGGTATTCATAAAGCATAGATGTTGCACCTTCAACAATCGTTTATCGATCGGATCGTTCCATTAGGAAATTGCACTAGGCTTTTCTAGAGTTATAACGTTATCGTCCTCAACTAAAATGCCTATGTTTGAGCGTGACATCATTCTCTTTGCTTATCCTCTCAATAACCCATAAAATTACCAGTACTTGGTTTGCTTTCAACAAAAGAATGTTAATAACGTTGCTTCATTTGCGGAATAATTTAGAGCATTGATATATTTTTTTATTTTTTTTGTAACATCGTACATGTTAATGATGATTAATTGGCCACTGCTTGTGTTTAAAATGAGACAAAACAATCGAAACTAATCTGATTGCTTGTTTGTTCTCTTGTTTGAACACGTATATTAAGCAAAGCGTTGGCATTCTTAAGTCCCATATAGAGGGCGCTGTATTCCCAAAGCCAGTCTGTAGAGTGACTTGCTGAGCTGTAAGTGCATTGCTTAATGAGGAATTATAATATGACGCATATGACGACATATTTATTTGACACATAACTACGTACGGTAAAGATGACGTAATATGTTTTTTGACACTTTGCTTGAGAGCTCAGCCCTACGGAAGTACATGTACCCAGGCCGGGGAACATCAAAAGACAACAACTAATGGAAGAATGCATCAGCCGTAGGGTGGGATTTAAATAGTAGAAGAGCGGACAGTAAAAAGAAATAACCTAATTCTAAGGCGTTTGCTCCCTAGACTAGCCTCAAGTATTGAAGTACAAAAAAAAACCTTTCTTTTTTCAAACTGTGAATGATCATTCACTGACAATGAGAGCTGTGACTCTACAAGCTACCGGATGAATGCTTACTGGCATAAAAATGAAACACTTTTAATGACCTTTCAAGCCCTAGAGATTTGAATCTGTAATTAGACAATGCGTTTACATCAAAAACACGTGCAAAGACTAATTGGGGCTTGACTTTCAACATTAATGTTGACAAGTTCAAAGAAAATATCATGATATTATTAATTGCACAGAAAGAAATGGTAGGGCAATGGTGTATTTTGTATCATGTTCTGCACCAGATAAAGTCTGCCAAGTTCATATTTTATCTCCAGTTCTAATCTGAAACAAATGGGGGAAAGACGGATTATATATATATTAATA